GGCAGACTCCTTGTAGAGAGAGTCTTTAAGAGGACCACTGGCGTGTTGCTGACCGCATGGGGTCCAGAGTGCTTCACTACCGTGAAGCTGCAGTGTGCCCCTTGCAGGGAAGCAACATGCGTGCACCTACGTGCTCGTCTCTATGCCACGATTCCGGCAGACGTCCGGAAAAAGGAGAATAAATCTTGCTCTGGGAATGCGCGACCATATGGCAGTAGGTGAATCCTAAAGCTCATGGCTGTGGCTCAAAGCTCCGCATAGTAACTCTAGTGTGATTGCCTGGTTACTGGCTGCTTGCACCCAGCCACAATGACCGACGCCGTCACCGACCGTGTCGAGGAGGAGAGTGGCACGACTGTGAAGCTGGGCTCCTTTTAAGCGTGTCTTTCCGTAAGTTAGGCTGGCGCGCGTTTCATGGGCTCTACAGGGCCAATAGGGGTTGTGTCGGGTTTGAAAGAGCTTATGTGTCGCCATAGATGTAGCTTGTCATAGATCGCGTTTATGGTGTCATAAAGTCGATATTCTAAACGAGAGCCGAAAAATAGAGCTCAGGAAGAGCCAGAACTCGCCAAGCACTGACGTGGACTTTATGGAAAAGGGGGCATCGGAGGTCGAGAGCCACTTTGAGTTTGACTTCTATGATCCTGGGAATTGGGGCATCGTCATTCATTGCTGGTGCTTGGGCTTCGTTTCCGGAGGCTTCAACGCCTTCCTCATGGGCGTGGTTGCAGGCTATCTGCACGTCCCCAGCGACATCATCCGAGGTCTGCAGAACATGTCCTCGCTTCCGAATGTCTTGTCAGTCTTCATGGGTGTCGTGTCGGACTCTCGCCCGATCTTCGGATATCGCCGCAGGCCCTACCTGGTGTTGGGCTGGCTCCTAACCACAACGGCTTACTCCACCATGGCTTGCATGGGGCTTCCCGAACCGTACTTCTGTGCGGGACCGGATGGCGGGTACCTTTATGATCGATTGCCCTGCAACCCGGACTCTGATTATTTCTACGTGCCCTTAACACTCTGTCTCTTCTCCGCGAACATCGGCCTATTGGTGAGTGGAGCTGCGGGTCGTGGGCTCATGGTCGAGTATCCCACCGGCACTCTTATGGTTTAGGCCGGTTTAGGGTTTAGGGATTTAGGGTTTATGCCGTTTAGGGTTTCCACACAAGCGCCGGTAAGGTATGCCAAAGCTGAAGACGAGGAGTGCCGCGGCCGAACGCAGACCATGCTTGAAACTTGGCTGTCGAGCTTTTCAAGGTTCGCGGATTTTTGTTGGTGTGCTGGTACCGTTTGGAGACTTAAATTTGAAGCCCTGATGCCCCCAACCCAGAAACCATCATTTGGAAAATTCGGAAGGTTGTTTCTCTGTCTCTTGGGTAAATAAGGAGATGGTCGGTTTGGTCGGATCGTTTTCGTCGCTGGTGGTGGCCGGTTTCGGCTTCAATGGCAAGCTGTTCAACGGCTCCTGGGATCAGCGCTACCAGCTCGGCTACAGACAGTATGTCTCCATTTTCGCAGTGGTCTCCATGATTGCGGGCTTATC